TACTGATAACACAAACCAAGACAAGTTTGTGCACTAGGGTTTCCCTGTTCAGCAGCTTTTTGATACCATTCAACTGCCTTTTGCTCATCTTTGTCTACTCCAGTTCCATGCTGATAACACCAACCAAGATTAGTTTGTGCACCAGGGTTTCCTTGTTCAGCTGCTTTTTGATACCATTCAACTGCCTTTTGTTCATCTTTTTCTACTCCAGTTCCAAGTCTATAACAACTACCAAGATTAAATTGTGCTTGAGCATCACCTTGTTCAGCAACTTTTTGATACCATTCAACTGCTTTTTGTTCATCTTTTTTTACTCCAATTCCATACTGATAACACAAACCAAGACAAGTTTGTGCACTAGGGTTTCCCTGTTCAGCAGCTTTTTGATACCATTCAACTGCTCTATTGACATCTTTCTCTACTCCAGTTCCATGCATATAGCAGTGACCAAGCCTATATTGTGCAACAGAGTTTCCTTGTTCAGCAGCCTTTTGCTCATATTTTTCTATTCCAGTTCCAAGCTGATAAAAACCACCAAGATTAGTTTGTGTTATAGAATATTCTTGTTCAGCAGCTTTTTGATACCATTCAACTGCTCTCTTGACATCTTTTTCTGCTCCAGTTCCAAGCCAATAACAATTACCAAGCCTATATTGTGCTAAAAAATTTCCTTGTTCAGCAGCTCTTTGATACCATTCAACTGCCTTCTGTTCATCTTTTTCTACTCCAGTTCCATTATCATAACATACAGCAAGATTACACTGTGCTTGAGCATCACCTTGTTCAGCAGCTTTTTGATACCATTCAACTGCCTTTTGTTCATCTTTTTCTACTCCAGTTCCAAGCATATAACAATTACCAAGATTAAATTGTGCTTGAGCATCACCTTGTTCAGCAGCTTTTTGATACCATTCAACTGCCTTCTGTTCATCCTTTTCTACTCCAGTTCCAAACCTATAACAGCTACCAAGATTATATTGTGTGTAAGTGTTCCCTTGTTCAGCAGCTTTTTGATACCATTCAACTGCCTTTTGTTCATCTTTGTCTACTCCAGTTCCATACTGATAACACCAACCAAGATTATTTTGTGCATCAGTGTTTCCTTGTTCAGCAGCTTTTTGATACCATCCAACTGCCTTTTGTTCATCTTTTTCTACTCCAATTCCAAGTCTATAACAATTACCAAGATTAGTTTGCGCTAAAAGATTTCCCTGCTCAGCAGCTTTTTGATACCATTCAACTGCCTTTTGTTCATCTTTTTCTACTCCAGTTCCATACTGATAACACCAACCAAGATTATTTTGTGCATCAGTGTCTCCTTGTTCAGTAGCTTTTTGATACCATTCAACTGCCTTTTGCTCATCTTTTTCTACTCCAGTTCCAAGTCTATAACAATCACCAAGCCAAGCTTGTGCACTAGGGATGAGTATATTTAGTTGTTCAACAACTTTTTTAATGGGTTTAATTGCTTCATGCAGATGACACAAGGCAAGATTTTTTTGTGCTTGAGCATCACCTTGTTCAGCAGCCTTTTGATACCATTCAACTGCTCTCTTGACATCTTTTTTTACTCCAGTTCCATTATCATAAAATACAGCAAGATTACACTGTGCTTGAGCATCACCTTGTTCAGCAGCTTTTTGATACCATTCAACAGCCTTTTGTTCATCTTTATCTACTCCAATTCCAAGCTGATAACAATAGCCAATATTAAATTGTGCTTGAGCATCACCTTGTTCAGCAGCTTTTTGAAACCATTCAACTGCCTTTTGTTCATCTTTATCTACTCCAGCTCCATGCATATAGCAGCGACCAAGATTATATTGTGTATAAGTGTTCCCTTGTTCAGCAGCTTTTTGATACCATTCAACTGCCTTTTGTTCATCCTTTTCTACTCCAGTTCCATGCTCATAACACACACCAAGATTATTTTGTGCACCAGTGTTTCCTTGTTCAGCAGCTTTTTGATACCATTTGACTGCTTTCTGTCCATTTTTATCTACTCCAACTCCAAGCCTATAACAGTTACCAAGATTAAATTGTGCTAAAGGATTTCCTTGCTCAGCAGCTTTTTGATACCATTCAACTGCCTTTTGCTCATCTTTTTCTACTCCCAATCCAAGCCTATTACTATAACAGTCAGCAAAATTATTTTGTGCTAGATAATTTCCTTGTTCAGCAGCTTTTTGATACCATTCAACTGCCTTTTGTTCATCTTTCTCTACTCCAATTTCGAGCTTATAACAGTCAGCAAGATTAAATTGTGCTTGAGCATCACCTTGTTCAGCAGCTTTTTGATACCATTCAACTGCCTTTTGTTCATCTTTTTCTATTCCAGTTCCATACTGATAACACCAACCAAGATTAGTTTGTGCATCAATGTTTCCTTGTTCAGCAGCTTTTTGATACCATTCAACTGCCTTTTGTTCATCATTTTCTACTCCAATTCCAAGCTTATAGCAGCAACCAAGATTATTTTGTGCTGGGGAATTTCCTTGTTCAGCAGCTTTTTGATGCCATTCAGCTGCCTTTTGTTCATCTTTTTCTACTCCAACTCCAAGCTTATAACAGTTACCAAAATTAAATTGTGCTTGAGCATCACCTTGTTCAGCAGCTTGATACCATTCAACTGCCTTTTGCTCATCTTTTTCTATTCCAGTTCCATACTGATAACACCAAGTAAGCTTATATTGTGCACTAGTGTTTCCTTGTTCAGCAGCTTTGTGATACCATTCAGCCACGATATAGGTCATTTTAATTTTGTAGTCACTAAGTATAAGACGGTTGGGCTCCAGTAAACTAAAATTTAATTATATTATTTCTATTTATATTACTACTACTACTACTACGGGTTGTTGCACTTGCGTAATCATTTTTTGGTGGAACATCATTTTGTACTACATTCATGAAGTTTGGATCGCTTATCTATTTACAACGGGCTAATAACTCTGACAGAAACTAGAAGTTTATTTACGCCATTCTGGCTTCGTTAGACGACTTGAGCAAAGTTATATTTTAACTGATACTGATTATTTTTAAAATGTGTTTGCGGTAGTTATTTTTGCTAACATTTTATTCGTCATTTGCCAGGATAATTCTGCGGAAACGCATCCGACTAAAATTATAAATACCCGTGCATACTTTATTTTGCGCAAGTATGATGTGATCTCATGTAACCATAATCCATTAAGGTTTGACATACTCGCAGAAAAGAAGTGAGTGTAATGTGAGTTTGAACTGTCCCTTCATATGCCGTACAATTGAAGCATAATCTCATGAATGTTTAATTTTCGCGATTGTTTCACTTGTACTCGATCCGTTATACTTCCCGGGCACTTCTGACCACTTTTGGTAAGCAGGTGTGGTTTTGGTTCCAGTTTCTGTAGAACAAGGGTTCTTGATTACTCGACCTGGGGTAATTGATGGTTTTGAATACTGTTTGTTCGATCCGATTTTACGCAATATGATCTGATACACTGTCTACGAACGTATTGTACAATTAGATGAAAGTAAGAATACATGCTCCGGGTAACATCATGGAACGAAAATGCAGTTCATGATTGGGTGGATCCATTCTTGCTTCCCTTGGTACATTTCATCAACTATGGATATCACGCAAGGAATAATGAACATGGAAAAGGCATCGTAGAAAAGAAGTGTGATTAAACGGTAAAATTAACGACCTCTTTTACGAATTTCATTACTGTTTCAATAATAAATTTCTGTGTAAATTCGCGTCCATACTCTTTCCCCATCGCTTCATATTTTGCGCTCTCGACTACACACTTCGGTACGATATTTTACCTCCCTCGTATTGCTTCTCTCAATTCCTGTTCCTTCTTAACCCACTCCATCATAGCGTCACCGACAGCAACAACTGTATTATCAACCGCCCCGGTTACAGCGGCCACACTACCTACCACAACAGTCTCACATATACCATATAACTCACTAGCAAACTGTGCTAACAATATAAACGGGGTATATATAATACTACTGACATAACTAATTACTGAAAGAGTATTCCAAATCACTATACTACTCGTGCGAACGATAACATCATAGATGCTGATGGACAATACAGAAATGACATTGAAAAAAGATGAAAGAATATTATACAATAATATGGATAATTCTTGGAGAAGACTCCAAGAAAACTCGATTAATACCATTGATTGAGACAATATTGTCTTACCCAATGTAAATAATGCTGATGAGCATGGTCTAACTAATCCCAGATAAACCCATTCCAAAAGCTTATACGTGGGTTTAAGTAATACATTAAAAATGAATAACAGTATACTCTTTATAACAAAATATAACCAATTGCAAACAGTCTGTAATGCCACATACAGCGTATAGGCGAATTGTAGCATCAAGTCCAAAGTTGCCGGAATAATTTGTATTAGAGGAACCAAAATATTGTTATATGACCATAAACCAGCCACAAATAATTCACAAAGAGAAGAGACCGCGGTGTATACGGCTTGAGAGGTGTGTTGTTTCAAAGAGTATAGGCCTTGAGGCCCGTGTTGTTTCAGAAAATATAAAGTTTGCAACAAGACTTGCTTCATAAAGTATAGGGCGAAGTATAGGGCTTGAGATAAGAGCTGTTTCATAAAGTATAGGCCTTGAGTCGCGCGTTGTTTCATGAAAATCGCCATAGAGCTCAAAAAAACTTTCACTCTCCTAATTGTACCATATCCAGTCTCAATAACATATCTAACAATTGGGTCCCTCAATGCTTCGCTCACAATCCAAGTAAGTTCACTTGTTCCAGCAATAACCATACGCTTGTACACAATTTTCCGGGAATAGACGATTGCATGATAAACGGCATTGCCGGTTGGAACGATTGTGTAATTCCAAATCCATCGAGATGAATCACAGCCCAAGAGAATTAGATCGCGTGCATCTTCCAACATATCGCGTATGAGAAAGCATGCAACATGGCATACTATGCGAGACAGATATATTCCACGCCTGATGGCCCACTTTATTGGATTAATAAATATAGAAAAAAGCAATCGCTGTCCGCCGTTTTTCCAAACAAACACGCTGGATCTTTTAAATGTGTTCCATGAATATGCACACGTTTTGCGAGTGGCGTCGTATCCGAATTTCAATAATTTCCAACCCGTTCTCACAATTGATCGGATGATATACCAGGTGCCACGTGCGATGGTTTTTATTACAATACTCAAACAATTTCGCCAGAGCACTTTAAGTCCACGGGGAACTGATTTGATAACAAATTCCAACATGTCCAGTGAATAGAATACACATTGTTGGTAAATCTCCCACGCAATTCTCAGCGATACGTATATCAGAGCGAATGGAAATACTATAACGTATGCTAATGGATTCTGAGAAGTATGGGTTGACGGCATAGTTCTAGCATTGCGACGTGTACGGTTTCTTTTACGTCTGTATGTGGGGTAATGGAAAATTGCTACACATAAATAGAGAATGATAAGAATTACGTATATGAGGGATGTAAACGTCGGCCTTGCGATAATCCACTTATCGAATTCACACTCGGTGAAGCACACCCCGGCGAGAGTGGCATTGAGAAAGTTGTGGATATCAAAAAATAAAATATTAACGAAATTACTAGGAGTAGACGTAGCCGTAGCCGTAGTAGACATTGGAGAAGAATATGTTTTACAGGAAAGTATCGTCTGTGTATATACGTATAAATAGTGTCCATATCAGCTATTCATTACTCGGCGCAGCAATATTTGGGCAGCAAGAAAAAGCCTAAACTTGTTATACGTTGTGGCTTTTGATTGGGTGACGTCAGTGTACACAAGGTGGGGGACACAAGTACGCATCAAATTGTCATGGGGAAATCATTACTAAAAATGTCAACGATCTACTATAGTAATTTTATTAATTTATTCAAAATCGTTTCAGGAACTGTTCTATGACTTTCTCTTAATCATGTTAATGTTGGTAAGGGAAACATAGTCAAAAAAATCAAGCAGTGTCTGTCCATTTTCTTGTGCCGACTGTTCTGCATTAATACGGTGACGATATTGTGTCGTTCTTGCTTTTTTTGTGTATATTTGTGTGCGGCTCGATGTAGGGAGATTTGACGTGTTTTGGATTAATACTTTATAGAGGTCTTCTGCTTCATCATCTAATCTATTATCATTCCAGGAACCGTTGTGAGTCCGGAGCAATCAATAACGTCATGTGCCGCACAGAGAAATTCATGTGATCGAATTTGTCACAGTGCGTAATTAATGTCGCAGTGATGCTGAAATCTGGTACTGAAATTTCCCGTTATGGTCAGTTTTCGGTACCTAGGTACTATTTGCGTAGCATCAGATCGGAGAATCTTTTATTGATATACTGTAAAATTTCCAAATGGAAGCTAAGAGTCTCGGTTATATATTATGGATTAGTACTTTTCTTGGGAGTCCACCACGGTTTACAAATATAATTGTATTTAGTATGAGTAAGCGGCTTGACCTTATCATTATCATCATCAAAAATATCGTCAAACTCGTTATGTGTTGTCTCTACATTTTCTATGGTCTCGCATGTTTTCACATACATATCCTGCGCAATATTATAATAGATTAGTGATGCAAAATTTTTTGATGGGCAAATGGAATTCATAAACTTACCATGACCGATTTAATGATACTGATGCATGTCTTCAGCTTTTCAATACTCTTAAGTTTCGTTGGCGATTCAAACTTGGGTCCGGGAAAAACGATATAAAAGCCTTCCACCAAATCTTCAATCAACAATTGTCCGTTCGTGCCAGCAAATTGTAAAAAAGGTACTCGAATGTTCTTGACTTGTTCATCATCGAGGTTATATAGACTATTTAATATTGATTGGTTTATTCGTGCAGAACGGCATCGGTCGCCAATTGTTTTTGTTGCTGTAGCCTTTGCGGAAAACTCCCATTTTCCGACGTCAATGTTAGGAAGCGAACATCGCATTTTCGCCCATTAATATGGTCCGCACTCCTAGTTAGTGGGCAAAATGATTCACCCCTCTTGTGAAATGGCTATATTATTTAAACTATAACGCAAACCGTATTATACCAACCATCTTGTATATATTTTGAGATTCTTGTTCAGTCCCTCAACGATATATGCACACGCTTTTAAAATCACGTCAACTTCCGTGTGCGTACTTTTCGTAGTAAAATCCAAGATATCTTCTTGATCTTTGCTTTTGTAAATACTATGTATGTCAAATAACAAGAATTAGAAACGAAAAATAAAATAAAATAAAAGATTAGATGGTAATCAATAACTCACAAATCACCATATACAGTGGGTAGACAAAAGTCTCCGGACAGTTTTCTACTTAAATTTTCTCGAAAACTTACGGACACGAAATTTTGGTGACGCGTAATGTAGATCTCTGTTTATAACTCGAAACGTTGTTATTATAAACAAATATCTACTTCACTTTTTTCCAATATTATTTCGAAACCTGCTTTAATATCAACTGACATAAATAAGGTTACAATGGAACTCTCAGAATTTAAGCGATCTGAAATTATTGGGTTACGGAAAAGTAATCTTAGCATTCGAAAAATTAGTGAAGTTCTTCAAATTCCGAAATCCACGATAAGTGATACGATTCAGCGATATGGACAACATCAAACGGTTACCAGTCTTCCAAGGACTGGTCGACCAT